TCCAAGCTCTGGAATTAGGAAGGATGTCAAGGTCTCCCCATGAAGTGCGCACCCTCTCGCCTACCATCTGCTCTTCCGCTGGGTTGTCCACACCCACAGACAGGCCCGTTGCTCGTTCACATTCCCCGACCTCTGGAGTCCCCACCCCTTCCAGCTAGTCCACACCTTGCCCCTTGTCCGCTATGTCCTTGTCTTTCTCCAACATTGCAGCTCCTGGAAAGCCCTTCCCGGGGAGCTTAGTAACTGATTGGATGGGGGGGCGAGGGGAGAGGGAGAGGAGGAGGGTAGACCCCCCTGTCTATGCACCAGCCACCTGTGGCTGCTCAGATTTAACAGATCGAAATGAAAAATCGGATCCCTCGGTTGCATCACCCACATTTCAAGTGCTTGGCAGCACATGGAGTTAGTGGCAGGCATGGAATATTTCTGTCCTCCTGGAAAGTTCTGTTGGACAGTACTGGTCTAGAAAGACTCCTAGATTGGGGACTGGGGTCCCTGCAACTAAATGACTCAATGGCACGTCCATCTAATGGACATGAGTTTGAGCAAACTCTGGGAGATAGTGAAAGATGGGGAAGCCTGGCGTGCTGCAGTCCATGGGTCGCAAGGAGTCAGACACGACTCAGTGACTAAACAAGAACTAAGCGAGGGAAAAGGGCAAGGAGTAGGGCTTGTAGGGGTTCAGTTTGGGACACTGAGTTTAAGGGTCTGTAGGACCCCTATGTGGAAATGTCCAGTAGGAAATCAAAGGTTCCTCTCCTCCTCCACCCCAATCCCCGCTAAACAGGTTTGAAATTCAACTGAGATCCTCTCCTTGGGAATTTCAAGGGCCTTAGTAAAATCCAATTCTAAATATCCCTAGGAAACCCCTAGAAGGCAGCTCTGCTGAAATGGCACTCAGGGTAGAAGCTGTGTGTGTTTGTAGGGTCCGTGTCTGTGTCTGGCTTGGGATGGCTCGGGAAGGGAGAAGAAGGTGCTAGTAGGCAACAAGAAGGCTGTCTTGGCTGGAGCTGGCCTGACACTTGCGAACTCCATTATCTCTTAGAGGAAGAGAGTAGAGAAAGCAAGGGTCTGGGGAATGAATCACCGTTTAGACACTGGGATCATCAGAACTGAAGTGAATCCTAGGGATAATCCTATTTGCATCTCTGTGGGATCCTCGCCATTTATGGGACGATAGGTGCAAAACCCAAAAAAATCATTTACTTTTTCTAACTCGGTTCTTCAAAGTCTCTCCTCAAACTCTTCCTAATACGATAGTGAAAGTGAAAGTTACTCAGTTGTGTCTGACTCTTTGTGACCCCATGGACTATACAGTCCATGGAATTCTCCAGGCCAGAATATTGGAGTGGGTAGCCATTCCCTTCTCCAGGGGATCTTCCCAATCCAGCCCAGGGATCGAAGCCAGGTCTCCTGCATTGCAGGCAAATTCTTTACCAACTGAGCCACAAAGGAAGCCCTTATCCCAAGAGGATAAGTCAGACACTATTGCCCTTCTGTGGTTCTCTCCTGACTATTGATCTGAGCTCACTTGGCTTTGAACATGAAGCTCCACACCCCTTTTCTGGCTCATGCAGAATCCTAGGCGTGGAGCTAAACTCAGACCTCAGGGTATGAGGAGAAACAAACACCATCATGTCCCCTCTTTCCTTCTTCTTGCTCCAGCATGTTCTAGAAAAGATATAACTCCCAGGGGCATTTGGAACTACAAGTTTTGCCCAAGGAGGATGGGCCAGGCAGTCAGCAGAGAGCAGGCGGATGGAATAGTCCACTGAGTTCACCCTGTCCCGGCCCCCGGGGTCCCCACTTATCCAACCAGGAGAGGAAAAGACCACCACCCTGGGCTGCTGGCCAGTGACCGTCTTCACGGTGATGCTAAGAAGGGCACAGAGAGAAAAACCACAGGACGCCCCCTGGCGGTTGTCCTCAGCCTTGGCTGTTCTCCAGGATCTCTCAGGGCATATAGCTCAGTCAGTAAAGAATCTGCCTGCAGTGCAGGGGACCCAGGTTCAATTCCTGGGTGGGGAAGATCTTCTCAAGAATGAAATGGCAACCCACTTCAGTATTCTCACCTGGAGAATCCCATAGACAGAGGAGCCTGGCAGGCTACAGTTCATGGGATCCTAAGAGTTGACATGACTTAGGGACTAAACCACCACCACCCTGGTTTAGGTTTAACTGGCTTAGGGTGGGGTCAGTTCTGGTTTAACTGCTCAAGGATGGGGCCAGGTGTTTTAAAAACTTTTACATTCCTCCTCACCCTGCCACACCTCACCCAGGAGATCCTAATATGCAGGCTTGATTTATAGCCTGTGTTTTAGGGTATGACCCCTTTCAAAGCTGCTCCCAGGGCTCTCTGCGGTAGACTGTGGTTTGTGTAGGGAGAAGTGTCCAAGGCCCCTGAGGCTGGCACCACGATCCAGAGACCACAGCATAGGAGACACGTTGCTGCCAGCGTTGCCAGAAAGGACTCCTGCACTCGCAAGTGCGTGGGACAAACAGGCGTCTTCTGCTCCACCTCTGGAGCAGAGGCTGTGCCAAGGGCACTGCAGCAGCCCACAAGGGGGCCACTCGAAGGCAGGCCTGGGGTTGTAGCTCGTTAGGGGTTGTGAAACCGCATAACTCAGATTGGGACTTAAACCCACAGGGCCCACTTACACTCCACAGACAGAGTGTGGGTCATCTCTCAAGGCAAGAGCTGCCTCAAAATATGGCATGGTTAGTTTTAAGGACTGGGTAATTTCACAGGCTAATGAGGAAGAGGAGTATTCCAACTATTTTGGGAAGGAGTTGGGGGGACAGATTTCCAGGAATTGGGCCATCACCCACTTTGATGGTTGGCCTCAGAATGTCAGGGTACGTCAGGTGGGTATGTGACTTAGCTTGCTGATGTTGCCATAAGCCTATATTGAGGCTCAAGGTCTAGTGGAGTTGGCTCTTCTGCCATCTTGGACCCATTTGGTTTCAATGTTGATGGCATGTCCCCAGGTTATGTCATTCTTTTAAATGTTGTGCCCTGCCCTCTCCCCTCCTGTTTCAGTTGGGGCAGAAGATTTTCTCTTCTCTGACAACTGCAAGCATCCTTGAGTTGGAGGGGGGCTTCACCAGTGGCTCAGGCGGTAAAGAGCCTGCCTGCAATGCAGGAGCCCCGGGTTCCATCCCTGGGTTAGGAAGATCCCCTGGAGAAGGAAACAGCAACCCACTCCAGTATTCTTGCCTGGGAAAATCCCATGGACAGAGGGCTACGGTCCATGGGGTCTCAAAGAGCCAGACACAACTGAGCGACTAACACTTTTTGAGTTGGAGGGGCTGCTCCAGCATCAGGAAGAGGGAGAAAGGAGCTGGATAGGACCCCTAGGGCACTCCTACCCTCGCCCACAGTCCTGCCCCACCCCCTCCCAACAGTGGGCCAGCCTTAGCAGAGCCAGAGAGGAAACAGAAGCCACTGGCTGCAAGCCTAGGCTGGGTCACACAAGGCTAGTGTGAGCAGCCCCAGCCCTGCTGACGGGGGCGGCTGACAGGGGCAGGACAGAGCTCCCTGAGCTGCTTCCCAGGAGGAAGTCCCTGCCCAGCAAGCTTCACAATGAGCCCAGAGAGCTGCACCCCCACCAGGTGACATCACCACCCTGCCCCCAGGTGACATCACCACCCCGCCTCCAGGTCACATCACCACCCCACCCCAGGTGATGTCACCACCCCACCCCAGGTGACATCATCACCCCGCCCCCAGGTGATATCACCACCCCCAGGTGACATCACCACCCTGCCCCCAGGTGACATCACCACCTGCCCCCCAGGTGACATCACCACCCTGCCCCCAGGTGACATCACCACCTGCCCCGCAGGTGACATCACCACCCCCCAGGTGATACTACCACCCCACCCCCAGGTGGCATCACTACCCCCCCCAGGTGATATGACCACCCCACCCCAGGTGACATCACCACCCCCCCACCTCCCCGCATCTGCCCCCTGCCTCCTCCCTGGTGGGAACTCACACGTACACGTCATACACACACCACACATGTGCACACACACATAGACATGCACCCCGTACTAACACTACTGGCCCTCATATCCAACCTGGCCCTGTAGCTCAGTCCACCTCTTGGGAGTTACTCAGAAACACAGCTTTATTGAAGTTAGATTTGGTCATTTAACTGGACAGAGTGAGGGTGAGGCTGGGGGGACAGGGACCAGCGTCCCATGGAGGATCACTCACGAGAAGCTGGAGCAGACCCTCCCATCCCCCACAAGAGACTATACAGCAGACCTGGGCGCTGGGACCAGGGCCACCAAGGAGGCGGTCAGTGTAGCAACAGGGGGCTGGCTAGGGCTCTCAACCGGGAGTGGACATTTCCTCTGAACTTTTAGCACCTGTCCTTCCACAAACGCATTTGTCTGTCTGTCCTGACCCTGCCCCAGTCATACAGACATGACCTGGGAGGGAGCGCTTCCCTCTTCTCTCTGTCTCCCTTCTTCAGAGTGAGTTCCAGGATGCAAGGGCTCCTGTGAGTTCAGGGGCTAGTGATTAAAGGTGGAAGGAATCTGGGAATGAAGAGGGAACTCTCTGTGGGGGCCTGAGTCTGGGTGCAGCGAGGAGCCAGAGAAGGCAATGGCACCCCAATCCAGTACTCTTGCCTGGAGAATCCCAGGGACGGGGGAGCCTGGTGGGCTGCCATCTATGGGGTCGCACAGAGTCGGACACGACTGACGTGACAGCAGAAGCAGCAGCAGCAGCAGCAGCAAGAAGCAGGCTGAGAGTCTGCTCGAGATACACATGGAGGAGGGGCTGAAAGGAGGTCTCAAGCCAGGGGCCCCTTCCCCAGCTACAATCTCAGTGCCCATCTCCCTGCCCCTCCATCACCCAGGGGACCAGGTTCCTGTCTCCTCTCCAGGTCACAGGGGCAAGTGGCAAGCACAGGGAAAGGGCCCTGCCGGGAACCCAGGCTCACTTCCACCAGCCTGTGTTCCTTACAGGGAAGGAGACCCCAGGCGGTCTAAACTTCCATCTGGGCTCCCGGCTCAGCTTCGCCCAGAATGGCCAGTGAGGGCTCCCTGCCCTCTGGGAAGGTGATGATGCCCTGCTTCTGGCTCCAGAGGGTCAGCTGCAGGGGTGTGCAGCCAACCCCTTCCTGGATGTCCAGCTGGGCGCCAGCCTTGACCGGCACTCTGAGAATGGCCATGTTGCCCTTGAGGGTGGCCAGATGGGCAGGGTTCCAGCCCACCTTGTTGTGGGCATGGACTTCCACACGGTACTCCAGGAGGTGGATGATGCTCAGGAAGGCCCCCGTCTGAACTGCCAGGTGAAGGGGCATCCAGCCCGATTGCTCAGCGGCATTGGGGTCAGCCCCACATTTCAGCAAGGTGGACACCACCACCTCTGCCCCGTGGCGGGCAGCCAGGTGCAGAGGGGCGGTCCAGTTCATGCCTCCAGGAGCCCCCACGTCAGCCTGGCTCTCAGCCAGCAGGTGGATGATCTCCAGGTGGCCCTTGTAGGCTGCTAGATGCAGGGGTGTCCAGCCCTGCTGGGTCAGCAGCTCCAGGTTGGCCCCATGCCTGAGCAGCATCTTGCAGACAAGGTACTTGCCCCTGGCAGTGGCGGTGTGCAGTGGGCTGTAGCTGCTCTGGTCGAGGGCACCAGGGGCCACCCCACTTTTTAGCAGATGTTGGATGGCCCTCCCTTTGCCTCCCTCCACTGCGAGGTGCAGTGGCGTTCTCAGGTTTCTCTGCCGACCATCCAACTCTGCCCCCTGGACTGCCGGCAGCTTGACCAGGCCGACATGGCCAAAGTAGGCGGCCACATGCAGAGGGGTCTTGCCCTCAGCCTCTCGCAGGTTGGGGTCAGCTTGATGGGAGACCAGAAGCCAGGCCACATTCTCAGAGTTGTTCTGCGCCGCCAGGTGGAGTGGGGTCCACCCCTCGTGCTCCTGGGCATCCACACGGGCCCCCTGGTCCAGGAGCAGATGGGCAGAGTGGTCGTCCCCATTCTGGGCTGCAAAGTGCAAGGGGGCCCAGCCGTCCTCATCCGCCAGGTTGGCATCTGCGCGGTGCTCCAGGAGCCTGCTTATCTTGAGCAGTGAAGAAGAGGGGCGTGTAGCCGCAGGCTGTCGGGCAGTCCACGTCCACCTCCTGAGCCAGCAGCAGCCTCACCCCCGCCAGGTGGCCCCAGCCTTCCTGGAAGTGGAGGGGGGGGTGAGCTTGTTCTCATAGATGCACTCCTGCTCATCACTAGGGACCAGGCTCTCACTGTCCACCCGAGAGTTGCAGAACCCGCTTCAAATAGTCTCCTGAGTCTGATGGGAGGAAGACAAGATTGAGAAAAGGACCTCTGACTTTGTCCAGGGGTCATCTCAGCCATCCCTCTACCTCCTGGAAGTGAACAGTTTCCTGGATGGGGTGAGTGCAGGTCCTTTCCCTAGATCCCGAATCTGTACTCAGGCTCCACTGCCCTAGACAGCAGCTGAGTCTGGCAGTTCTTCCTGTAAGGATGAGGCAGAAAGAGGTCGGTCTGGAAGTAAACCCTGACTCCACCCCTTAGCACCACCTGCTCTCTGCCTCTTTGAGCCTGGGGGTACTGATCTCTGAGGAGGATACAAGCAATGCCCACCTCGTGCTACCATCGGGAAGACAAATCCTGTAGGTCAGAACTTCCGGAGAAGTGGCGGGCACAATGTAAATGAATGCAAATTGAAGGTAAATTTGTGGTGGAGCTCCGTGATGTGAACTCCTCCGGAGGTGCTCAGGGACCCATTTCCTCCTGCTCTACCCAGTGGTGTATTAGAATTAAAAGCAACAATTTCCAAAATGAAAAAAAAAACCAACAAAAAACAACCCACAAACAAATGGAAATCACTGCTCAGACCAAACCCCAAGAGATTCTGAGTAAATAAATTATTCTAGGGTGGCTCAGCCATCGGATACTCTTTCATTCCCTCAAGAAATTCCATTATGCCACCAGGATTGAAAACTGATGTTTCCCTTTCCCCGGCCAGGGAGGGAGGAGTCCAGCCCCAAAAGAACACAATCCTGAAGGGGAAGCAGAGCCAGGCCCCCCAGGGGCACGGGCATTTCTGGAACTCAGGGCTGGGTGCCCAGAAAGGGAACACAGACTCCAGGCCTGGGGAGGAGGTAGGCCAGGGAGGATGGCAGAGAATTGGTTTGAGTTCCCTTTCTCCTCTGCTGTGCGTACTCAGGTTCCAGCTGAGACCTGTCTGGACTCACCGCCGTCTGTTCAGTTCAGTTGCTCAGTCGTGTCCGACTTTTTGCGACCCCATGGACTGCAGCACACCAGGCCTCCCTGTCCATCACCAACTCCTAGAGTTTACTCAAACTCATGTCCATTGAGTCGGTGATGCCACCCAACCATCTCATCTCTGTGGTCCCCTTCTCCTCCTGCCCCCAATCTTTTCCACCATCAGGGTCTTTTCAAATGAGTCAGCTCCTTGCATCAGATGGCCAAAGTATTGGAGTCTCAGCTTCAGTATCAGTCTTTCCAGTGAACACCCAGGACTGATCTCCTCTAGGATGGACTGGCTGGATCTCCTTGCAGTCCAAGGGACTCTCAAGAGTCTGTTAGCTCCTGGCAGATCTCCTCACTGACCTGGGGAACCGGAAGACAGGGGGCGGATGAGATGAGCGCAGGGCGGTTCTGGCCCATGCCGGCCTTGCCTCCTCCCTTCGCCTCTCAGGACTCTCCTCCCACCCTGTGCCAGGAGACCCCTCCTCACTCATGCCCGCCACCAGCTGTGTCTAGGGGAAGGCCCTGAGCTGAGGATGCCCTGCCCAACAAAGAGTGGCCCAGGGCCTCGGCTGCCCCCTGGGCCACAGGGAAGGCAGGGTGGTGGCCCTGTGGGTTCAGCCTGGAGCCCCGCACTAGCTCACGACTGGTTCCCTGGTGAGGCGTAAGGACAGCGGAGCAAGGATGATGCTGACGGGCAGGGCGGGAAAGCAGGGGCGAGCCACGGGCGCCCTCTGCAGGACGGGCCCTGTTTAACCCCACACACGTCAGGGAGGGCATGTCCTTCTCAGGGGTGGCCGCGGCCACCACCAGCTCTCAGAGCACCCTCGAGCAAACTAGGAAAAGGTACCCCTGAGTTACTGTGCGGCTTGGCCAGCAGAGCATGCGCTGAGTCTGGTCCCCACCTGCCCCGCAGCCTGGCTGCCTCATGGGGCGCGCACACTTGCATGCACATCCTCAGTGCCCACGAGATGAGGCCCCGCTGCGCACTTACGCACCTCCCCGGGCCGGCCCACTGCGCAGGACACCTTCTGGCCAAGGCCTCGCTCTCACGGTGGGCCACCGGACTCTGGAGCAGTGAAAGCAGCATGTCTGTCTCCGCTATGATGTCTGCTCTAAGAAACATTAGTAGTGTAGTGTTAGATTCTCAGTCGTGTCTGACTCTTTGCAACCCCATGGACTGTAGCACGCCAGGCTCCTCTGTCCATGGGATTCTCCAGGCAAGAATACTGGAGTGGGTTGCCATTTTCTTCTTCAGAGGATCTTCCCAACCCAGGGATCAAACCCGGGTCTTCTGCGTTGCAGGCAGATTGTTTACTATCTGAGCCACAGGGAAGTCCCCAAGAAACAGACACACAGCAAAAGAAGCCACAGGTTGGCCTGCAGTTCTTCCCCATTTTAAATGTTTTTCCCTCTACCATGTCTCCTGTACCTCCTCCCAAAACCCAGCCCCGGGCTTAGGGGCACCCACACATGAGCATCAGGAAGCAGGCAAGTTGGGACCCTGTCTTGGAGGAGTGTGTGTGTGTGTGTGTGTGTGTGCATGCACAAGCGTTGCTTCAGTCATGTCTGACTCTTTGAGACTCTATGGACTGTAGCCCACAAGGATCCTCTGTCCATGGGATTCTCCAGGCAAGAATATTGGAGTGGGCTGCCATGTCCTCCTCCAGGAGAACTTCCTGGCCCAGGGATCAACCCCACTTCTCATATGTCTCCTGCACTGGCAGGCAAGTTCTTTACCACTAATGCCACCTGGGAAGCCCTTTGAGGGTAGACCTTTTCCATAAAACACGAGGGCAAGACTAGGTAATCTCTAAGATGCTCACACTTACACACAAGTGTGCATTTACATCATCCCTAGAGGAGTGGATGATTGCAACATCCATCCATGCCTGTGAGCTTATGGTCTGGGAATACTTTACAAATGAGGACACTGTAGCCTGAGAGGACCCAGGCTAACTGGAGACTCAGAAACAGCAAAGGCAGGCCCAGTTAGCTTCTGGCAATGAGGGTTTTCCTATTTTACCTCCCACAGGGTACACATTAAGCTTGGACCAGATCACAGTCCTCAGCAGCCCCTGGTCCCTCTGCCATCCCCTCATCCCCACCCCACCCCCAACCCCCCGCCCCAAACACACATTATGGAGCAGACTCTGCCCTAGTGCCATGCAGGACTTTCCCTGTGAGTCTGGGAGTGGCCTCGGGCTTCAGTCATCTCTCCTGGGCTGATGTGTGGCTCATGTGTGGGTGCCCCTAAGCCCGGGGCTGGGTTTTGGGAGGAGGTAAAGGGGACCTGGTAGAGGGAAAAATATTTAAAATGGGGAAGAACTGCAGGCCAACCTGTGGCTTCTTTTGCTGTGTCTCTGTTTCTTGGAGGAGTGTGTGTGTGTGTGTGTGTGTGTGTGCATGCACAAGCGTTGCTTCAGTCATGTCTGACTCTTTGAGACTCTATGGACTGTAGCCCACAAGGATTCTCTGTCCATGGGATTCTCCAGGCAAGAATATTGGAGTGGGTTGCCATGTCCTCCTCCAGGAGATCTTCCTAGCCCAGGGATCAACCCCACTTCTCGTATGTCTCCTGCATTGGCAGGAGGCTTAGATTTGAGCAGCCGGGTCTCTGGACCGCCTCCAGATCCTCCCAGGCCAAGACTGGCCATGGCCCCTCACTGTGAGCCTTTGCTGTCCAAAGGCAGCTGGACTGACTGGCAGGCCTAGTTATGGGCTTTGATTTTGAAATTTGCTAGATTATCCAAGTTCCCTGACAGTCTGTTTACCTGACACCGTGGCAGGGCTGGGCGTGGGAGAGACAGGAAAGAATATTTTGAAGCAAAGGAATCAGAGGCAGAAAGCATGGTCTGGGCTGAAGTTTGCCCTTTCTTTCACTGTCTTGCGAGCTCTAAAAAGCAGGGGGAGGAAGGTAGGAGGGTGAAGTCCCCAACATAAACCTGCACCTGCCCCGCCCCTACGAACCCCCCGCCTCCCACAGTCCCTTCCAGGTCCCCATTTGACGGCATGACTGTCACCTGCTACCTGAGTGCGGCTTCTTCTGAGTGAGGATCTCCCAGATCACGACCCCGAAGCTGCAGACAGAACAAGTGTGCCCCGAGTGACTTCCTCGGGTCCAGTCAGAGGGGCCCCGTGGGCCACAGAATCCCAGGCAAAGACTCTCTGGCCGGAGGCCCGCCACACCCCTCCTCCTCCCACATGGGCAGGGCGGGACCCGACGTCACCCCTGTCCTGCCCTCTGGGCCTTCCGGTCCAGGCAGCGTGGTGACAGCAAGCTGCTTGCTGGGTATGTGGCCGGGAGCCCCGCCCCCAGCTCACCCGTACGTGTCCTATTTGGGCCCTGGATCCTCGTTAGTCTCCAGGAACATCTCAGGGGGATGCAGCTGAGGGTGCCCTGCAGAGCTGACCTCTTGATGCACTGCATCTGGGTCGACTGTTCCATCCTCTTGGACAGGCCAAAGTCTGAAACCTGGAAGGAAGCCCAGGGTGGGGGTGGGAGGGCAATACGGTCTTGCCTCCAGAAACCTGCCTGAGTTCCTCATCCCTCTCACCTTCCTCATTTCCAGTGTTGTGTAGCCACTGAGAAGACAGGCTCTCTCCCATAGCTACCACGAACGACAGGATGACCTCGGACAAGTTATCTTCTTAGAGCCTTCATGTCCTCATCTATAAAATGGGAATAATACCAGAACTTAACTAGTAGTGCTATTATGAGTATTGGATGAGGAAATATACAAAAAGCACTTAGATAGTGCCTGGTGCACAATGAGTACTTGGTAGGTGTGGCCATTACCCGAAGGGTCTGTGGATAAAGTTGCTGCCTTTGGTGAGCTTCTGTTCATCCCACTTCCACGGGCCCTGAAGCATTGACACCATGTATATTTATCCCACACTCTGCTTCCATCCATTGATTCATTCATATACCAATTGCCAGTTCACTGAATTCCAACTAGGTTGGGTACTGAGAATCAGACAGCAGATAAGAAAGACAAAACCGGGACTTCCCTGGTGGTCCAATGGTTGAGAATCCACCTTCCAATGCAGGGGACACGAACTTAATCTCTGGTTGGGGAACCAAGATCCCACACACTGTGGGGAATCTAAGCCCACAAGCTACAACTACTGAGTCTGTGTGCGCTAGAGCCCATGGTCCGCAATGAGAAGCCCTCATGCCACAACTAAAGAAAGCCCTCACGGGCCACAACAAAGAGCCCACAAACCACAATGAAGATCCAACATGGCCAGAAAAAAAAAACAATTTCTTCTATGAAAGATGAACCCCCCATACCCATTACTTTCCTAAGTGGTTATTCACATAGGGAGTAGAGTTACTAATGAAACAGTTTCATAAATGACTATATACTTACAATTGGGGTTAGCAATATGAAGAGACAGACACAGTGAGGATATATAACAGAGGCACGTGGGGGTGGATCAAGGAAAACTTCCCTGAGGAGGTGTTATTTAAGCTGACAGCTGAAAGATGAGGAGACCTTTGCTAGACAAGGAGGGACTAGGGGAATGCTGTTCTTGACAGTGGAAACAGAATGTGCAAAGGTTCCAGGGCAGAATGAAAGTGTAACATGTCTTAGGAACTGGAAAAAAAAAAAAGACACACAAAAGGTCATCATGACCCTTCTTAAAAACATCTCACTTACACACATCATTACTTGAATCAAAGAATGGGATAGAGATGATTCTGTCCACATTAGAAATGGAAGACTGAGGTCCACAGAGGGTTATTGCAGGCATCCTGATACCCAGTTTCATGCCCCAAATTCCACTATGCCTCCATCTGCTTTAGGTGTGATCCCTGCCTTTAGTATTTGGCCATGAAGGGAGCTGCTTAGAACACTTTGACAGGCCAACCAGACAGTAGATAATCCAGCTCATGTGGAGAAGACTCTGGAGTGGCAGGGGACAGACAGGGTCCTCACCTTGACATGCGTGCAGCTGTCCAGGAGGATGCTGCCTGGCTTGAGGTACAGATGGAGCAGCGGTGGCTTAATGCTGTGGAGGAAGTTCATGGCCAGGCTGGTCTCATCAACGGTGTGGATTTTGAGCTGCCAGCTGAGGCTGTGAGTGGAAAGCATCTTCTCCAGGGAGTCACTGGCCATGAACTCCATCATAACACCTAGGGGCTGCCTTCAAATCCCACAGATGGACACGATGTGCTGAAACTTGATCTTCTCCATTTTGGCTGCTTCTTCAATGAGGCAATTCACATCAGAGCTATGGAGAAGGGGGAGTGAAAGATGGAAGCTGGTGACCCTTTAATTACAAGAGGAACTACCAGAACACACAAACTAGACTTGATGCCAGGCTGCACAGACCCAGAGACCTCCTTGGGAGCTTGTGAGGTGGTGGAGGAGGAAAGAGAGATACGAAAGGATGCTCAGATTAGGGTCCAGCAACAAAACAGGAAGCAAAGGAGTCTGTGAATTTAGGGGTCAGCCCATTCTACAGAAGCAGCCACCAAAAGCCTGCTGTTTATTCTGGCTACCTACATATGTCTATCTCCCACAGGAGGCCACAAGCCCATGGAGGACCAAACATGCCTCCTGCTTCTGTTTTAAAATATTTATCAAGGTACCAGCTCACACCAATCAGAACGGCCATCATCAAAATGTCTACAAATAGCAAATGCTGGAGAGGAAGTGGAAAAAAGAGAACCCTCCTACACTGTTGGTGGGAATGTAAGTTGGTGCAGCCACTGTGGCAGGCAGTATGGAGGTCCCTCAAAAAAGCTAAAAACTGCTGAACAATCTGGCAATCCCACTCCTGGGCATATATTCAGACAAAACTATAACTCAGATATATGCACCCCTATGTTCATATCAGCACTATCCACAATAGGCAATATATGGAAACAAACTAAATATCCATCAACAGATGAGTGGATAAAGAAGATGTGGTACATATATACAGTGGAAGACTACTCAGCCATAACAATGAGAGAATGCCATTTGCAGCAACATGGATGCAACTAGAGATTATCTTACTAACCGAAGTCAGAAAGAGAAAGACAAATACATATGATATCACTTATATGTGGAACCTAAAATATGATGCAAATGAACTTATCGATGAAACAGAACAGAATCATGGACATGGAGAACAGACCAGTGGTTTCCAAGGGGAAGGGGGTTCATAGAGGGATGGAGTGTAAGGCTGGGTTAGCAGATGTAAGCTTTTATATATAGAATGGATAGACAATAAGGTCCTACTGTGTAGCACAGACAACTATATTCAATATCTGATGATAAACCATAATGGCAAAGAATATTTACAGAAAGCATATATATATATATATATACATACATATATATGTATGTATGTATATATATATATGTAACTGAGTCACTTTGCTATATAGCAGAAATTAACACAACATTGTAAATTAACTATACTTTAATAAAAATACGGAAGAATATCATTTATTGCCTTTTTGATTATGGAAGTAATAGATACATATGTATATGTATACACACACACACACATACCTTGTAGAACATCAAGGGACTAGAAAATTAGGGAATTCCCTGGTGGTCCAGTGGTTAGCACTCAGCTCTTTCACTGTGGGACCTAGGTTCAACCCTTGATCGGGGAACTAAGATCCCACAAGCTGCATGGCATGCTCCCCTCCCCTCACCAATTAAATCATCAGTAACCCAACCTTCTGGAGAAGTCAATGGCACCTCATTCCAGTACTCTTGCCTGGAAAATCCCATGGACGGAGGAGCCTGGTGGGCTGCAGTCCATGGGGTCGTGAAGAGTCAGACACTGACTAAGCGACTTCACTTTCACTTTTCACTTTCATGCATTGGAGAAGGAAATAGCAACCCACTCCAGTGTTCTTGCCTGGGGAATCCCAGGGACGGGGGAGCCTCGTGGGCTGCCGTCTGTGGGGTCGCACAGAGTCAGACACGACTGAAGTGACTTAGCAGCAGCCGCAGCAGCAACCCAACCTTCTAGAGTTGGCCTCTGTTAGTAATTTACTATATTCTTTCACAATACATTTCAAGGAGCCTCTCTCCTCTTCTCCCTCCCTATCCCTCTTTCCTCCTACACTCTCCCTTGACATCACATAGTGTGGGCTGTTTTTGACCTGCTTTTCCCTGTCAGGGTAGCGTGAGCATGTTCTGAATCATTATTCTCCCGAAGCGAGCTCTGTAATGGCTGTATGGGATTCCATTTTGGAGATGAACTATAATTATTCATCTTTGTACTCGTCACAGCACACAGCCACACATAGCACAAGGCATCTTTGCTGAATTGAAGTCAAGACTGAAGGGAAAGCCTTACAGAATAAACATTTGCAAAACCTTCCACTCTTTTCACTGTCCATGCCCACGGAACAGCAAATATGCAGATTGTTATAGATTGTTTGGGGACAGTGGGGATGAAGATTAAGGAGAAATGACATTGTTTTAAAAAAGCAAAGTATTTGCAAAGCTGCGCTGGCATTGCAGTCAGAGGCTGCTGGAAATGTGTTCATAGGGCCTCCCTGGGAAGCCAGCCAGAGACGCCTCACCTCCAGGAAAAGGCACCTGCCCCTGCCCACCCCACCCCCCCAAACCCCGCAACTGGACATGTTGGCTGGTCCAGGTTTAGGTCTTCTTGTCTTCTCTACTATTCAAGAGATCTCCCTGCCCCTCCCCCAACCTCTGCAATTTATTTTTTTTTATCTGTCTCCTCTTGTCCTTTTGAGATCATAAGAATTGAGAAGACATCCATCACGAAGTGGAAAAAACACAGGATCTGGGGCCACATTGTCTTGCTTTCCAATCCCAATTTCATCTCTGTACGACCTTGAACAAGCAAACTCTCTGGGTCTCAGTCTGTTAACTGTAAAATGGAAACAGGGACATGCACAACTCCCCTTGGCACCTACTCTGCTTGAAAGTGTTTGCTACACCTACCGTCTCTCTCTCTTCCTCACCTCCCCCACCCTTTCATCTGGTTTCCGGTCCTAATATCTCACTGGTCAGCTATTGCTATAGCCTACAGGCAATTTTCTGTCCTTGGAGTGGGACTGGTCCCTCCTTCGCAGGCTCCTGTTCTATTACTTGATCACTAGACCCAGTCCCAGTGTCTCCAGGCAACCTCAGCATCTCTAACTGGGTATTCACATTTAAAGTGTCTAAAACTGAACTCCCAATTCTCTCTTCAAACCCACTCCCCGCTCAGCCTTTCCCATCTCAGTGAAAGGGCTCCATCCCTCTAGTCTTCAAAGATCTTGATTATCCTGGACTCCTCTCTTCCTCTCCTTCCCACAACCTGCTCCTCAGCACATCCCATCAGTGCTACCTTCAAAATACAGCGAGAATCTGGGGGAAGGGGGGAGGAATTAATTAGGAGTTTAGGATTGACAAATACACAGTGCATCACTTCAGTTTAGTCGCTCAGTCGTGTCTGACTCTTAGTGACCCCATGAACCGCAGCACGCCAGGCCTCCCTGTCCATCACCAACTCCCGGAGTCCACCCAAACCCATGTCTATTGAGTCGGCGATGCCATCCAACCATCTCATCCTCTTTCATCCCCTTCTCCTCCTGCCCTCAATCTTTCCCAGCATCAGGGTCTTTTCCAATGAGTCAACTCTTCCCATCAGGTGGCCAAAGTATTGGAGTTTCAGCTTCAACATCAGTCCTTCCAATGAACACCCAGGACTGATCTCCTTTAGGGTGGACTGGTTGGGTCTCCTTGTAGTCCAAGGAACTCTCAAGAGTCTTCTACAACACCACAGTTCAAAAGCATCAATTCTTCGGTGCTCAGCTTTCTTTATAGTCCAACTCTCACATCCACACACAGCCACTGGAAAAACCATAGCCTTGACCAGATGGACCTTTGTTGACAAAGTAATGTCTCTGATTTTTAATATGCCCTCTAGGTTGGTAATAACTTTCCTTCCAAGGAGTAAGCGTCTTTTAATTTCATGGCTGCAATCACCATCTGCAGTGATTTTGGAGCCCAAAAAATAAAGTCAGCCACTGTTTCCACTGTTTCCCCAGCTATTTGCCATGAAGTGATGGGACCGGATGTCATGATCTTAGTTTTCTGAACGTTGAGCTTTAAGCCAACCTTTTAAGTCTCCTCTTTCACTTTCATCAAGAGGCTCTTTAGTTCTTCTTCATTTTCTGCTATAAGGGCGGTGTCATCTGCATATCCATGTTTGCATGCTAAGTTGCTTCATTCCTGTCCAACTCTTTGTGACCCCATAGACTGTAGCCCGCCAGGCTCCTCTGTCCATGGGATTCTCCAGGCAAGAACACTGGAGTGGGTTGCCGTGCCCTCCTCCAGGGGATCTTCTTGACCCAGGGATCAAACCTGTGTCTCTTACATCTCCTGCATTGGCAGGCAAGTTCTTTACCACTAGTGCCACCTGGGAAGCCCCATAAACACACTACTACATTTAAAATAGTGGGCTTCCCAGGTGGAGATAGTGGTTAAGAACCCTTCTGCCAATACAAGAGACCAAAAAGATGCAGGTTTGATCCCTGGGTCAGGAAGATCCCCTTGGAGGAGTGCATGGCTACTGACACCAATACTCTTGCCTGGAGAATCTTGCATGGACAGAGGAGCCTGCGGGCTATGGTCCATAAGGTCGCATAGAGTCAGACAGGACTGAAGCGACTTACCACACACAACGCACACACACTTTAGATAACCAAAATACCCAAACATAAAATAGAGGCAATATTATAACAAATTCTATAAAGATTTTTTAAATGGTCCACATCCAAAAAAATCTTAAAAAAAAAAAAAAAGATAACCAAGGAAGACCTATTGTATAGTTCAGGGAACTCTGCTCAATATTCATATCTGTAATAATCTAAATGGAAAAAGAATTTGAAAAAGAAAAGCTATATGTACATGCATAAGTGAGTCACTTTGCTGTACACATGAAACTACCACAACACTGTTAATCAAGTATGTGTGTGCTGTGTGTTTAGTCGCTCAGTCGTGTCTGGCTCTTTGTGACCCTGTAGACTGTAGCCCACCAGACTCCTCTGTCCATGGGATTCTCCAGGCAAGAATACTGGAGTGGGTTGCCATGCCCTCCTCCAGCAATAAAACCCCACCTGGCTTTAATTTTTCATGAGTTCAGTATAAGCTGGACTGCTCAA